TAAGAGTTTGGGGTCTGATAAGATCCTTGATCATTTGAGTTAATCTTGGTATAGGGTGATATACATGGATCTAGTTTCAGTTTTTTGCAGACTGCTAACCAGTTTCCCAACGTTTTTGTTGAAGAGGCTGCTATCTCCAATCGTATATTTTAGCTCCTTGTCAAAGATAGTTGCTCATAGTTGTGTGGCTTCATATCTGGATCCTCTATTCTGTTCCACTTGGTCTTCATGTCTGTTTTTGTGCCAGTACCATGCTGTTTTATTGTTATTGCTTGTAATATAGTTTGAAGTCAGGTATTGTGATACCTCCTGCAGTGTTTCTTTGACTGAGTATTGCCTGGCTATTCGTGGCCTCTTGGTGTTCATATAAATTTCACAGTAGATTTTTTCAATCTCTTTAATGAATGTCATTGGGAATTTGATGGGAATTGCCATGAAACCATGTAGATTACTTTGGGAGTATAGACATTTTACTATTGATTCTACAATCCATGAGCATTGGGAGATCTCTCCACTTTCTATAGTCTTCCTCAATCTTCTTTCAGAAGTGATAGTTTTCCTTGTAGACGGTCTTTCACATCTTTGTTAGGTTTACACCTAGGTATTGATTTTTTTTGAGGCTATTGTAATGGAATTGTTTCATACATCTTTTTTTCCGTTTGCTCATTGTTAGTGTATAGAATGCTAAGATTTTCTATGTTGAATTTTATATCGGCTACTTTGCTATAACTATTGATGATGTCTAGAAAGCTTTTTTGATAGAGTTTTTTGGGTCTGAATTGTTTTCAATACATTCTTTTTCCGTTTTGCTCATTGTTAGTGTATAGGAAATGCTAATGATTTTTTCTATGTTGATTTTATATCTGCTACTTTGCTATAAGCTTATTGATGATGTCTAGAAGCTTCTGAGTAGAGTTTTTTTGGGTCTAGGACAACCATTTTTAAAAAGTAGTTTTATTGACCTTCATTTAAAAATTATCCACTAGTTTCTTTCTACTTTTCCCATAGCGAAATAGTGGTTTAAAAAGCCATTTGTTACCGTAGGAAGTAAATTTAAGCAAAAGATGTGAACTGGCCTCTAACAAGGAGAATTAACAAACTTCCTGAAGAGATCGAGGATGACTTCTGAAGATGGAAAGATCTCCTGTGCTCATGGATCGATAGAATTAACCATAGTAAAAATGGCTACAACTACCAAAAAGAAATCTACATATTTAAATGCAATTCCATCCAAACATCCAATGACAATCATCACAGAGATGATAATATACCCTAAAGTTCATTTGGAAATATCCCAACTGACATTCATCACAGAGATTAATAATTCTACCCTAAATTTCATTTGGAAATACAAGAGACCGTGAATTAGGCTAAGACAATACTCAGCAAAACAATATTACAAAGCAATAGAAATAAAAACAGCATGGTACTGGCACAAAAACAGACATGAAGACCAGTGGAACAGAATAGAAGATCCAGATATGAATCCATACAACTATACCCACCTCATTTTTGGCCAAGGTGCCAAAAACATACAATGGAGAAAAAACAGCCTCTTCAACAAATGTTGCTGGGAAAAGTGGTTATCCATCTGCAAGAAACTGAAACTAGATCCATGTTTATCACCCTATACTAGTATCAACTCAAAATGGGTTAAGGACCTAAATATCAGACCAGAAACTCTGAAGTTAGTACAGGAAGGATCAGGAAATACTCTGGGACTAATAGGTATAGGCAAGGACTTCCTCAATACAACCCCAGCAGCCCATCAACTAAGAGAAAGGATGGACAAATGGACTTCATAAAATTAAAAAGCTTCTGCTCAACAAAAGAAATGGTCTCTAAACTGAAGAGACCACCCACAGAGTGGGAGAAAATATTTGCCAGCTATACATCAGACAAAGGACTGATAACCAGAATATACAGGGAAATTAAGAAACTAAACTCTCCTAAATCAATGAACCAATTAAAAAATGGGCAACTGAACTTAATAGAACTTTCTCAAAAGAAGAAATTCAAATGGCAAAAAAGCACATGAAGAAATGCTCACGATCTCTAAGCCATAAAGGAAATGCAAATCAAAACCACACTAAGATTCCACCTTACCTGTTAGAATAGCCATCATCAAAAACACCACCAACAACATGTGTTGGCGAGGATGCGGGAAAAGGAACCCTAATCCACTGCTGGTGAGAATGCAAGCAACCACTCTGGAAAAAACTTTGGAGGCTTCTTAAAAATCTAAACATAGACCTGCCATATGATCCAGCAATCCCACTCCTGGGGATATACCCAAAGGATTGCAACACAGGTTACTCCAGAAGCACCTGCACACCCATGTTTATTGCAGCACTATTCACAATAGCCAAGTTATGGAAACAACCAAGATGCCCCACTACTGATGAATGGATCAAGAAAATGTGGTACTTGTACACAATGGAATTTTACTCAGCTATGAAGAAGAATGAAATCTTATCATCTGCAGGTAAATGGATGGAACTAGAGAACATCATTCTGAGTGAGGTCAGCCAACCTCAGAAGTTCAAAAATTGTATGTTCTCCCTCATATGCGGACTTTAGATCTAGGGCAAATGCATCAGTGTGGTTGGACTGGGACCACATGACAAGGGGAGAGCACATTTGGGTAATATAGAAATAGGTAGAGAATCCAAAACATGAAAGTGTTTGATGTCCCCACTCCAGAGGAGCTAATACAGAAACCTTAAAGCAACAGAGGTTATCATGACAAGGGGATCAGTAACCAGGGTAAAGATCAGTTAGAAATGAATCAACATGGGTCATAACACGTGCACACGAAAGCAGTGCTAGGAATATTTCTGTATAGCTATCCTCAACTCAACTAGCAAAAACACTTTGTCTTCCTTATTTCTTCAACAAAACTAGTGATAAAGGCAGAACATGACCTGCCTGGAACTGAGGGGAGAAGGGGGAAGAGGATGGGAGAGGAGGATGGAAGGAGAAATGACCCAAACAATGTATGCACATGTGAATAAAAGAATAATAAAAAAAAAATTAAAAGCTCATTTGTGGGTATTTTTTTGTCTCATTTTCTCTCTTCCTTCCCTTCCTTCTGTTTTTCCATCATTTTCTTTACTTCTCTATATGAAATAATTTCCAGATTTTTTCCCTTTCTTTCATTATTATTATTATTGTTATTACTATTATTATTACTATTCTTTGCTAGGGATTCTCTATTGGTACTCAGAATGTGCTCCTTTGAAGTATTCTTCTCAGTGCTGAATGCAGTGCTGTAGATATTGTCTGACCATACATCGCATTGACATAGGACCACATTTAAATTAAAAAATTGTTTCTGAAATACCGTGCTCCCTTATTGATTTATGATTAGAGTGTGGTCAGTGAAACTCCTATTTTTCTCCTCAACCAGTACTCTTCCATTTTATATTTGTGGAGTTGTCTTGTTCATTTTAATTTTGATTCTGGTCTTCTCATATAATATCATTACACATGATATTACCTTTATGTTTCTACATAAAGGTAGAACATTACTTCAAAATTATCCTTAAGAATTTTCATAATTTAAGCTGGGTGCCGGTGACTCATGCCTGTAACCCTTGATACTTGGGAGGCTGAGATTGGGAAGATAGTAGTTGGAGGACAGCCCAGACAAATGGTTTTCAAGACCCATCTCCAAGATAACCAGAGCAAAATGGACCAGAGGTGTAGCTCAAGCAGTAGAGTACCTGTTTTGCAAGCATGAAACCCTGAGTTCAAACCTCAGTCTTACAAAAAAAAAAAAAAAAAGAATTTTCATAATGTTAAAGATGACTAAAGCACACTTACTGCTAACTTACTGAGGTTATCTTCTGAATTTTTTTTATTATTATGGAGAGTTTCCAGTATGAACAAAAAAATGTACTCATGAAAATATGTTATCAAATAAACATTAAGCATTTGTGTTCAAGCCATCTCATTTCTCAGAAGCCTTTAGAATGTTCTATGCTTGCAAAAGAACAAATAATTTAGGTACTGGGCTTGTCACATTTTGTTTGTAACTTTTTTTCTCTCTTGATCTTTTAATATCTTTTTTGTCTTGTGTGCTAAGAACTAATTTTTATCTCTGTGTATAAATGTAGCAGTTTTGGGTTATTTTGGTAGTAGCTACTGGTGAAACTATAGGCTTTTCCTCTTGATGACTTTAACAGACACAGGATCTTGATTGAAGCAAATGATCATTGTTTATAATATCTGAAAAATGCCAGTGTGTCTGTGAGCAGGGCCATCCCCTTAATACCAACTCTAGAATTTTGATCAGAACAGCTGCATTTGAATTGAATTGGGATTTTCAAGAATACCCAAGTACTTCTTATCTAAGATATTTCCCTGTTGCAAAGACACCCTTTGCAACCATTTGAATATGACCTCTTATTACATCTTTCAAGTGTGGAAGTGCTGCTCTTAGTTAAGGCTTACAGATGTAGGGCTTCCTAGTGCGTTAGAATAAGATGCTGACCCTTACTACTAGTATCTATGTTGGTATTATAAGAAGGAGAGTTCACTTGGAGAATTCAAAACCAGCTTATATTTAATTTCCCTCAACACACAGACACCAGCACAATTTTTGTCTTAAGACATCTCCACTTAGAAAAGCTCCACTATAAAAATAAATGAAGAGATGTGTGCCGGGCAAGAGTAACTAAAACAGCAGTAAACCATATTTTGTGTAATGACTAAAGAAGGCAGTGTTGTGTTACTTAATACTCTTTGAGTTATGTAACTTACTTCATCTCTTTTAATTTTTGTTTTAGGTACTGGGGTTTGAACTCAGGACTTTGCATTTGAACCACTCTGCCAGTCCCCCTTTAATTCTTTATAGGTTTAGAGAAAATCATTTTATTGAAAACTTCTTGTATAGCTTAAAATTATCCTGTAATTTTATATCATTTTAACATTGCATCATAACTTTCTTAAATAGATAAAGATCTGATACAGACAACAGAAGTGATGCTGTTTATTGAAGAAGTATATTTAAGCCTTTTGCGTCATCCTGTTTTCTGAAAATTCAGCTTATCCAGCTTACTCTTCAGCTGCTGTGTATCTCTGACATCAGCTTGAAGATAACTGGGGAATGTTCATCTTTAATTCAGCTTTTAGAGCACAGCATTGAACTTTTAAAGGAGGTAAGGATAGTAAGACATTTTAATGTATCACTTAAGAAAATCAGAAACTAAGTAGTTGTGCTTATTTTATTGCATATCAGAAGTGATTTGATTTAAAAGGTAGATCATACTACCAACGTACTACTCCTAGTATTATTTATTGTAAAAACAAGCCGTTAAATAGTCTTTAGAACATCAGTTAAGTATCTACCACTGTGGTTTTTTTTTTTTCATTTATCAGGTATTGAACAACTGATATCAAATATTGTAGGCCCTGCAAGGTCCATAGATGAAAAATACGTTCTGCTGCATCAAGAAACTTAACAGACATATAAATAAATAATTCTGGTTTTTTATAGCAGTTTGTATGAAGGATAAGGGAAGCATAGCTTAAGGGAAATAGGGCATGAGTTGAGATTTGAAGACTGAGTAGGAATTTGCCTGAGAGAAGCCAGAGGTTGGCTGGGGCATTCTAGCTGGGAGAACAACATTTGCCTAAAACCAGAAACATGAAAAAGCAAGCAGGCATGGCCTGTTCAGAAAACATAAGTATTATTGCTTTAAGTATTGTTGAAGGATTAAGGTGTGGAAGATAAGGTTGAACTTGTTTCCCATGTCCTACAAATGAGTTTACATTTTATCTTGTAGATAATGGCTTGATGTTGAAGACCTTTCAGCAGATAGGTGCCCTCGTTTTTCATTGTGTGGAAGATCTTTCTAGTAGGAGAGTGGAGGAGGGTATTGTAGGGCAACACTAATAAGGCAGGAAGTTAGGAGGGTGTTTTTAGTTAGGTTGTCAATGACAAAATACCACAGTCTGGGTACCTTAAAAATCAGAAATTTTTTTCCTATGGTTCTTGAGGCTGAGAAGTCCAAGATCAGAGTACTGGTAGACTAGGTTCTTGGTGAAGGCTCTCTACCTTGTTTATTTATGGCTGCCTTTTTGCAGTTTCCACACATGGTAGGAAGAAAGCATGAATTCTCTGATGTCTCTATTGGATTAGGACTCCACATTTATGACCTCATTTAACCATAATTACATTCTTACTTCAATTAATAGTCACATTAGGATAGAGGTTCAGAATATAAATTTTGGGGGATGCAATTCAGTTCATAGCAAGGGATTTATTAGGGAAATCAGAGTGGGAAAAGAGTAATAAGAGAGGAAACCAGAATGACTTTGATGGATCAAAGATCAACCAAAGATAGTCAAAGAGAGGGTCTTTCATAGAATGACACCTTCTAATTTAGGCTCCTGGATGGTGCCATTTACTTTGAGAAATGATAACTAATGTTGGAGAAAAGATGATTAATTTGGTTTTTAAATAGGCTTGGTTTGAAGTGAATATAGATTATAGGTCATTGTGTATATTATTTTGAAATTCAAAGTAGAAGTCTAGGCTAAAGACGTAGATTTATAGATACTTATTTTGGGGTGGGAGTTTTTAAGTTTGGGATACGACGAAAGGGCTTGGGAATGTAACTCCAGGGATTACTAGTATTTAGATTGTCCTGATAAAGAGAAACCTTGGAAAGTACAGCTGGAAGAATTATAAGATAAGAAGAGGAGACAGATGACTTAAAAATCAAGGGAAGGCTGGGCACCAGTGGCTCATTCCTGTAATACTAGCCACTCAGGAGTCAGAGATCAGGAAGATCAGCCCAGGCAAATAGTTTGCAAAACCCTACCTCAAAAATACCCAACACAAAACAGGGCTGCTGCATTTCTCTTATGGTGTTAGTAGGTATAGATACTCAACATTTAGATCCATTAATTCATCAGGAGTTGCAAAAGTGGTGATGTTCTAATTCTATCATTTCTTTTTCATTTATTAGGTGGAATACTTCTATAAGAACAGTTTCCCCTCACTTACTATTTGGTTATCCAGTTGTAGGATGTATATAGAAGATGTTGGATAAATGCATCTCTCTCCTTTTTCTCTTTATGTGCCAATTTTAAAAAGTATCATGAAATCATAGGTTTAAAAATATTTAATGCATTTTAATCTATGAAATGTGTTGTTGCTATTGAAGTTTAAGTTGTCCTATTTTTGATCAATAGGAATGTCACAAAGTTGGCTCTTGTTTAGTTTTTTAAAATATTTTATTATAACACAGAATCACAGAATACAAATTTCATTTACAAATAGGAAATGATTTCTGTGAAAGAAGATCTTACTTATGTTGTCTCCTCTCTGCTCAGTATTTTAACAATTTAGAAGGAAGTAATGCTAAGTAGAACTGTTACAATGGTTGTGTTATAAAGTTTCTTGCTGTTATTCCTAAGGCATAAAGTAAGGAAAATTATTTTGAAAACATATATCCTTTAAGACCCCTAGTCACACTAATTTGAAATAAAGTGAAGTAGAATAAAATAGTTGTATCTATTTTTCGGCTATATATATTTTATTGTTTCACTGGGTTTATCAGTTGGATATTCAATTCAATGATTACATTATTTTTCACCTTTGTTTTTTTTCTGCTCATACCACAGAAGTGTGATTGTACACTGAATAGGTTTATATCCTAGATGTATTAGTTTTTGTAGACTTGGTCTTATCTTAGTAGAGCTATTAGTTGCTCTACTTGAATGATAGTAGTTTAAGGTCCCTTTCATTTCAAGCAAAATTAAGCAAACATAATACTGATTGGGAGGAGACCCAGCAGCTCTTAAAGTGAAGGACAGGTTGAATATTTTGGCTTTAGAAAGGTTAGGAATCTGTGGTTTCTAAGAAACTGCCACCAGATGACTCAGTTTCAACCCCTTCTTTGTCTCAATGTAGGAGTTCCTAGGAAGAATGATCTGTTGGGCAGAATTGGGCTCAGTCAGCTCTGACCAGAGGACAGGTTAGGAAGAAAAGCTGTGGCCCTGGGGGATTTTGTGATCTGGGCCGCCCTATCCTTTGTGTCTTTTATAGGATGTGGACTTTCTTTTTTTTTTTCTTTTTTATTATATTATTGTTGTACTGGGGGTACATTGTACATTTACAAAAGTTTTTACAATATATAATAGTTGAATTCATCCCCTCTATCATTCTCCATTATCTCCCCCCTCCCCATTCCTGGAATATTTTCAACATGTCTCATTTTTCCATTTTCATATTATACCTTGTTTTCACTTTCTTTTTTAATACTTCTCCATGATTAAGACTAAATTCTTGAGAAGAAGGGACTATCTTGTTTGTAGCACCATCTTTAGACACAACATATGTTCTTGGTGTGTAGTACATGGGTGGTGTTTGATCATTTCTTTTATTTGAATTCATGACAAATTTGTGGACCTCAATTGTTTTCTGACACTAAGAGTTCGCTAACACCTGTTGGCCAGGTATAAAGGCATTTACTCCTTTGTATTTAAATTTCTTTCTCCAGATAGGCTTTGTGTTAGTTAGGCTAAGTTTCTCTAAAGGCAAAAGCAGAGCCTGGGTGCCCTCAAAAGCAAAGGCTTACATAACTGGAGTTCATTTGCAAATATGATCTTAGAAAACAGGTGGGAAGGGGACAAAATGAGTGAAATATGGAAGGTATATAAAAGTTTTGTGAAGTTGGCCACTGCTACAAATAACCAGTTCCTTCCTTCCATAGAATTCTTTCAGAAGTCTTGTGAAATATGTCTCAGAACCTGCCAGAAGAGCCACAGAATACAGGGGAAACATTTATCTGTAGGCACTTAGCCATGAATTGTCAAGCCTTACCCTGTGGGGCTTGAATTTTGAAGCAAAGAAGTGTGTGGTGGGGCATGAGGGGAAACCTTAAGGTTGCACCTGTGCAGAGACTGTTACTGTTGCAGTTGTAGTAGAGGAAATGGCACATGAAATACCGATACAGGCTTTTATTACAAGATTTCACTGTATGCGCTTATCTTTTGGTGACCATTAAAAAATCAATCAAGCAAACAAAGCCCTGGTAACCAATTGTAAGCAGTTTATCTAGTCTAGTCCTCCATGATTTACTCTTCTTTATTTTTGATGTCTTGAATCTCCTTTCTCTTTCACTCTCTGTTGCTCACAGGCTGGTCTGATCCTTTCTTAAAATGTTTCTATTCCATTTTAGAACCCTAAAATGCTACTTTGTAGCCCTTGCAATGACAGCTGGTATGAAAAGGGCATTCCAGTAATATCATCAGTATACAGTAATGCTTTTATTTCTGATCCTCTTGGAAGATAGTGCATTTAGAATTTAAATAACTGCTGCCTTTCTGTTTTATATGGACGTGCAGAAAGCGAGGAAACTATGATATTGAATGGTATGATGTATCTTGTAAGTGCATTGTTTTAAAAATGCATTTATTATCCTCAAATAGATAGAGCTGCTTTGTTGTTCTCAACTGTATTTCAATACCAGTGAACATACATAAGTTCCCAAAGATACAATCTGTAATATTTTCTATTTACAAAAACTTATAATTCATTTCCTTCTTTTCCTATTTTTCAAAGTCCACAAACCATTAGAAGATTTTGCAGTTTATTTTCACTTTTCAAATGTAAAACTGAGATGTAGGGTATTTATTAGTTTGTGCTGGAGTTGATAGCATCTCTAAGTTATAACTTGTAAGTGTGTCAGACTAAATTGTTTTTCAAGTGTTTCCTTAACACGTGGCTCTCTCTCACAGATTTTTTTTTGTCTGTCCTAATGATTTGTAGGTACTTCTGCTCTATAGGCACATCTGTAAAATTTCAAAATGAAGTAGTTTTAGCTGGATCTTTCTTCTTTTAGTTTGATTGTACATTGTTTTCTTTACTTAGAAATCTCAAATAACATCTGTCACTTGCATTTTATTAGAACTTAATGTGTGTCTTTTATTTATATACTTAGTGAACTTAGTGATTTTATGTTTCTATTGTTACTATTTTGCTATATTTAAATATGCTTAATAAATTACTATAATTTCAAAATAATCCCTGCTTCCCTCAGAATAGTATTCTTTTATTATAATAAAATGATTCATTAACATTTTAATGTAGTTCATCATGGAAATTACATAGGTAGATCGTGTCTATGTTAGGTCAGTAGAAAAATTGAGCTACTTTTCAGAAATAAAATATCCTTAAATTTAGTACTTCAGGTTATTTCAATGTTTGTAGATTGACCGTTTTGAAGACTTGTCTATTTATTGTGTTTTGAAGACTTGTCAATTTGTTGAGTTTTCTCTCTGAATTATTTTGGCATAAGCCTGCCTTTTGTCCTTGTGATACAGCAGTTTAAACTTATTTCTGATGATGTGGCATTCACCAATTCTTTCTTTAGTAGTGCAGACTTGTTTGAGTAACTTTATGTAATAAGTTTGCAATTGTTTATGTTAAGTATATTCTTCTTGGATACATGTGTAAAGTCGTAGTTCTGGGAACCTGTTCAATAACTTTGGTTTTTTTTTTTTTTTGGTGCTCTTCCTTTTTTAGGATTTCCCTGTTGAATTGGTCATAATTGGAATAGCTTTACTTCTTCTCCAGACTCCAGCTAGTCAGCAGAAGCCACTCTTAAATCTAGGTAAATAAAAATACACTTGGTAGAGTAAAATGTAAATGTGACACAAGTGTTGGCAGGTGTCATCACTTGAAGTGTATGTCATGCTTTCCTGTATATTTTGAGTTTCTGTTCTGTGATTTTCTTAATTATTACTAGGTATTTTTTCTTATTTAAGGTATTATCTTTTGCCAGGTTCCAAATCCCATTATTTACTAAGTATCTTGCATGCCCATCAAGTTATAATACAAATCATATAACAGTGACATTTGTAAATGTATTGAGGGCATATAACTTTATTGCCAATTGTACATCAAAATAAGAAGCAATAATATAAAACCCTTGAAAGAAAGTGTTTAGCCAGTTGTATTTGTTTTTCTAAAAACATTATTATTTATAATTGATGCTACATTGAATAAAATTTAATGTGTTGTTAGTGTATGAATTTAGCTAGTACAAAGGAAAGATAATATTCTTTTGCCTGTCCGGTATTGAGGGAGGGGCAAAAGTGAAGCAAAAATGTTTTAGTTATGAATGATGTGGGGCTGCGGTATATAGCTAAATGGTAGAGTGTTGGTCTAATGTGCCAGTGCGAGGCCTTGAAATTTAATCCCCAACACTGCAAAAAAAAAACAAAAAACAAAAAAACCCATAAAGAGTTAAGTTGCTGGGTCTGGAAAATTGATAGGTTACATCTTCAAAATGCGATTTTTTGGGCTTCAGGTGTGGCTCAAGTGGTAGAGCTTCTGCCTAGCAAGTTTGAAGTCCTGAGTTTAAACCCCAGTACTGGTTAAAAAAAAAAAAAAAAGTGTTCTTTTTTTTTTTTGCTTTTCATTTTTCATTAGTATGTCTCACTTTGGTTCAATATAATCTGTGTAGGAATGGGGATAATGGTCTAAATTATTTTGTTTTAGTGCCACAGTATGTTGGTATATCTCCATCCTCATTTTTAAATAGTGTTTGAGGTCAGAATCAATTTATAGCACATTCCTCTGGGCATTTTAATTCTTCAAAGTGGCTTCAGTACATGGAGGAGATCCTTGTCTCTCAGACTTTGATTTCAATCCTGCTTTTACCTTGGTGCCTTATGTTCATTTGTGCTTTTCCTCCCCAAAACAAAAAGAGCTGAGTTAAAATTCTAGACCCCCCACCTCCCAAAAAAGAATCACTTATTTAGAAAAAAGACCTTCATTGTTCTGCTGGTTATGGACTTTGGGACTTTTGTGATCTACTTCTTAGGAAGTATAGCAGAAAGCAGGCCTGCTTCACCTTGCCCATTCACTTAAGCTTCTACTAATAAAATTTTCAGTTGTTTTGTGAAGGAAGTCTGTACGTTGTATTTATTATCCACTGGTTAGGAACTTTTGGTCTCTTGGCTATTTGCTGAGGGCAACAGGATCTGAGAGGTTGAAACACTGAATTGTATTATTTTTTTAAAAAGATTATATTTACCTATAAAGGAATTGCCTATTTTCTCTGAGTATTATCAGTTTTTCATAATGGTTTGTTTTACATAATACTTAATTTTTTATGCTATATTTGTTTCTTTTTATGATGAGATTTATCACTAGTTATGCATCTGACCCTTTTTTTAAAGTCACAAGAAAACTTTGCCATATCACTGTTAAAACGGCATTTCATTTGACAGTGGTATTAATTCTGAAAATGTGAATTCTTGTTTCTTTGATATTTAGCTTTGAAGGTCCTTTCTTTTGCTGAGGGTCAGAAAATCCCAAAGTCTTCTCTGCTGCTCGTGATGCCCCTTCTGCAGATACTGTCTTCTACTGCCTGGGAAGACTGCATGGCAGTGGAGGAAGAAGGTCCCTCTAGACAGCAGTTGGCTCTAAACCTTCTGGAAATGGTACAGCAGGAATGTTACAGAGATGACCACCCAAAGGTAATGGGTTCATCCTGTTTCTCTTAAGTGTCCATGTGAATATTTTGTATTTGCAAATCATCTCACCTTCTGACAAAGTTTCTGTTAGGGTATAACCTCTATTATTGAACTTTCCCATTCTTTCAGGCTGTGGTGAGGGAGATGTTAGTATATTCTTCTGGACTCAGAGGTAGGAGGATTGGGAAATAAGTTTGGAAATGCTATATAATTCTTCTTCCTCTTTGACATTGTAGTGTACATTATTCATTAAAGATCCTAAGGAATCTTGCAGAAAAGTAACTAATTCTATTTAATCTAGTGCTTCTTTAATGTTTGAGCACAGATTCTTTCCTTCTCATCATACTGTCAATGCGTATGTCATATCGTTAGACTGGGAATAGTCCAGTGCTCCTCAAATGCCTGGAAGTTCTGGGGTCAGTATGAAGTAGGACTTTGTATGATATGACATGGTATGCCATATTCTCCTGGCATATTGGCTCTTGATGCCTCCTGTATGTGCTTCTACTACATTGTCCCTTGCTGGATGGCACAAGCCTGTCACATGCTGGTTTTAGTCCTGCCAACCTCATTCTGTGTTTTCTGTCTCACTTGTCCTTTTATGAAAATGTGACAATATTGTCAGTGTTGGGTTAGTGGTTAAGTTCTAGGACTAGATTTGCAAGACCTTTTCTTTTTATGTTTTGAGTTTGCCTTTGGTAAAGTGTAGTATTACTTCCCAACTCCTACTTTTATGGGAAGGGAATGAGAATTAAGATAAAGCTGGTGAAGCATCATAAGTTTCTGAGGAGAGAGGCACTATATAAATACAAGCTAGAAACATGTTTGTTCTTCATATGAAAAGACAGAAATACCTCTCACCATGTATTGTTAAATGTTCTAGCAGCAAGAATCCAGTCATTATTATTTGCTTGAGCATGTAGTAGAAACTAGCCTATCACTATATGCAAATTGAATATGTATTACAGTTTCCTAAATCCAGATTGTTTTATTGAAACTTTAATACTGACTACATAATCGATTTGTATTCAGAGAAGGAGGTTCTTCCTGTGTCAGCTCTGAGGCAAGCAAAATGTGGCCAAAGAATTCTAATAGCTTTTTTACCTCTTGTTTTGCCCATATAGAATGATGATTGGATCCTGAATGGGGGTAGGGCTAGGGCCAGGTGTATTTTCTCTAAGAGTTGTGTTCCTTTAAATCATAAGTGTTATTACTGAAGATTTCCCTAGCTAGTAAACTATTTTACTAGTTTGCTATTTGCTCAGGTGTGTATGAATCTTATTCATCAACATGAATAGCTGGACTTTCTCTTCAGCAACTAGTGAAGAAGGAGGAGGAAGGAATACTATTAAGGCTATAAATGTCCTCCATGTGATACTGGGCTGGGTTTGACTAGAGGCTTTGAGTAGATATATGCTCACCGTTTCTAAAAATTTAAGCCACATTTTACTGTTAGATTTTTTTCTTTTCCTGCATCTACCTGGGACTCTATATTCCAAACATACCTATCAATTCGACTTGCTCCACGTACTAGATGTCTTTTCCTGGATTTTCGCTTTTGCACAAAATGCTCTTTCATGTCCTCTGCATGAACTGCTTATTCTTCAAGACTCAGCCAAATGTTCTCAACCTCCGAGAGTCAGAATTCATTGCTGTCTCTTTGTGTTCATATCTCCTAAGTGTTTCTGTAAGCTTTTTATCTTTTGTAAGCTGATAGAGGAAAGGAGCTCTTTAGTTAAAAATATTTTAGCTCATTGTCAAACTGATTATTCTCCTTCTTTAAATAAATAACATCCTAGCTTATTTATCTATCTTTGCATCCAAAGTAACTGGTCCATTTTTCACCACATGATAGACATTAGTAAATTTTTTTCTGTGAGTGTGTGTCTCTAATACGAAATGCAGGTATTTTACCGTCTTATTTATTTCAGATCTATTAAAAGCCTCAGATTTCTTGTTCCTATTAGTTCTTTTTTATGGGACTCTGATTTACAGCATTTGATTTAGATCCTTCTTTAAATAAATAACATCCTAGCTTATTTATCTATCTTTGCATCCAAAGTAACTGGTCCATTTTTCACCACATGATAGACATTTAGTAAATTTTTTTCTGTGAGGAGTGTGTGTCTCTAATAAGAATGCAGGTTATTTTACCGTCTTAATTTATTTCAGATAGACCTCTATATAAAAGCCTCAGATTTTCTTGTTCCTATTATTTCTTTTTTGATTGGTGACTCTGATTTACAGCATTTGATTTAGAACTAGAGCAACTCTTTAGAACTACAGTTCTTTTGGCAGATGAAAACAAGGTTAGACACACTGTGCCATGAAATTCTGTAATTGCATCTTCATTTCTGAAGTGTTGAATAAAAAACACTTTAACTTCTTCCAATTTATAAGATTTAAAAATGTAAGATCTCCAACTTGACATTTACTTCTTTAAAATCAAAGATTGATATTATCTAATAAGTTTTTATAGTGTGTGGAAAACAAGATCCTTTCTATTTGGCTTTTAAATGTGATATATTTAAAACCATCTATTGTATTGTCTCCAGATTCAAAGAAAATGAGACACTAGTATATTCTAAAGTGCTTGAAAGGTCATGCTCCTCCCATCTCCTGAGAGAATGTTGGAGATAAAAGAGAGCACTAGTGTATGAGTTAGGGTCCAGTCAGGAGAGGGAAATTTGTTGATAAAGTTTAGACTTATTTTCACTTTTTTGGTTATTATGAATATGCTGCTATGAATATTCGTAGACAGGTTTTTGTGAGGATATGTGTTTTTATTTCTCTCGGATAGATACCTAGTAGAATTCCTGGGTCATATTATGACTCTGTTTAAGTGTTTGAGAAACTATCAGGCTGTTTTCTAAAGCGTCCTCACTAACTATGCTACAGTCTGTCTTTTTGGAAGATTTTCATGTCTACAACTCTAGCACAAATGTTGATATTGAATCTTTTTGATTTTAGCTGTCCTTATGGGCAGGAAGTACAAATTCCCTTCCCTTCCTTGCCTTCCCTCCCCTCCCTTTGCCTCCCCTCCCCTTGCTGGGATGGAGCTCATGACTTCTGACAGGGTAAGCAGGTGGTCTACCATTGAGCTATATTCTGAGCCATGAGAGTATTCTGAAATACTCATTGTACAAGCCAGGATACTGAGAGTAGAGAGGTTACGAACTTGTGATTACATGGGTGGTAAAGGCTAGAGTTGAAAATCAGATTTTTGGCTATTTAACTCTAGAGCCTAGATCCTTTTACTTGTTCCCTCCCTCCTTTCCTCCCTCACTCCCTTCCTTCCTACACTAATTTATTATATTGGTACTGAATTTAGGAGTAAATAACAGCAGTGTTTTGGTAAATTAATAGTTAAAGGAATGGTAAATTAACATTACATTGAAATAAACTGGTTTATTAAGAGCTTTAAGCCTGAATCTTGCGCTTTTTTGTCATCTTCTGAATGCCATGGGATGGGATGGTGTGGGTTATCTTTTTTGTGATAACCAACCACTCCTAAATTGCTCAACTCATGTAAAGTATTTGAAGAAGTGCAGTACTAGAAAGATTTCCTTGAGGTTTTTCTAGTCTAATCTTCTGTTTCTGGTCTGATGAGTGATTAATATACCTTTTAAAGGAGTCCAAGTTTGAGTTTCTGCATCCCTTCTCTGCTCTCACTACACCTGGTTTAGTGTGTATTGTAGATGTATGTTATTCTTTACTGTTAATAAAAGCCTATATTTCTCACCAGTATTCACAATTTTTTTCTGACTTCTTTACCCAAATAAGTATGATCATATGTCTGTCTTACCATTAACACTTATTGTCCGGGAACATTTTTTTGATTTTTTTTATTGTTTTGCTGGGTGAGGGTACATTGTGGCATTTATAAAAGTTCTTACAATGTATCAAATATATTATACTTGAATTCACCCCCTCCACCACTACCTGAGCATTTTTATTAAAAGCTTTCTAAAGTAAAATATTTTCAACTCTTTTAAATAGGTAAAAGATGTTTTACAACCATTTAGTATTTATTTAAATGTGATTTACTATGGTTTCTTTTCTCCCTTTTATTTTTTATTGAGCTATAATTTATATAACACAAATCTGTGTTTTATTTTTAAACAGTCAACTTTCTCCTCTGAAAGGAAGAGCCTACCAACGCTTTCATGGGTACTTCCTCAGGCTGGGACCAGGATTCAGTAGCTGACACTGAGAAAAAACACTTAATGGCATCCTTGCCCTGGGACTTTGCCAGTGACAGCTGTCACTCAATAGGAGAGGGAGACTTTTCTGTGGCATCTTATTTAACATTGTACCTTTTGCTACTGCTCTAACCTTAGGCAAATAAAATACAGAGCCTGATCCTGACCATAATACTATAAGTAAAGTGGGATTGCTTTTCTCTTTTATTGATTGCTGTTACATGTGTCTGTAATGGTCTTGTTTTATTTTCAACTCATTGTTCGTGGTGATTTCCAATTCTTTTTTTTTTTTTTTTGGTGGTCAAACTCAGTATCTTAACATTCCCTAGGCAGGCGCTATACCCCTTAAGCCACTCCATCAACGATTTTTGCACTGGTTATTTTTGAGATAGTGTCTTGCTTTATGCCCCATCCAGCCTGAACTGTGATCCTCCCGTCTGTGTTCCCAGCATAGCTGGTGACAAGTGCATGCTACTGCATCCAGCCATTGTTTAAGATGGGGTCTTGTGACCTTTTTGCCAGTGCTGGCTTCAAGCTCCACCTCCCAGGTAGGTAAGATTACATGCTTGGACCACCACGCCCAGCCCAGTTGTTTTATTTGATATTCATAATCATTGGTTTTATTCCCCTCCCCCAACAAGGCAACAGGGATATTTCCCTATATTTTGTAGTTTCAGACACTGTCCTAGGGGCTTCATTTGATTTGTCTCATATCTACCTCAATAATACTGGCAGGAAATTAGTCATTATTCAGATTTTGCAAATGAGGAAAGTAAGGTTTAGAGAGATTGCATAATGGCT